TTGGCGACGGCTCGTAGGGAGGCGAAGCAAGCCCCTTTCGTCACGACGGCGTGACGGGGTTCCAGCAGAGGTGGTGGTGGTTGCAGCGGCAACCGCGACTATTTCGTCTAGTGATGGCGACGATCTCACGGGCGGCAATGAAAATGTCTAGCAGTGGTAGTTGGTCTCAGGCAATGGTAGGACTTCTCAAGCAGCAGCGTCACTGACATGACTCAATCGTTGTATATTAAATCACGCAAATCTAAAATTTATAAAACTAGAAAATACGACTTTTCAGATGTTTAGAAGTATTTCTGAACAAATATATCAATTATAATTCAATAAAACTTCCAAAAATAGCGGTAATTTTCCAGGTCGATCATAGAGATGTAATATAATATCTGGTAATTATTCAGAATTTTTCTCAAGAAATACAATTTTCTATGAATTTTATACTAGGAAATGAAAAGGAATTATATTTAAAATTCACGTAAAAGGGAAATAAGGGTGCGGACGTCAAGATGATGTCAGCACCCTGACGAACATGAATCGGACGGAAATAGAGTTCCGCCTGGTGATTCTTACGTAAGTGATTATAGACGATTTAATTAATCAAATTAAGATTTGTAAAAGCCGGAAGAATCGTAATTGAACAAAGTATATTTTGGTAAATTAAAAACACAAAAATTATCACTAAATGAAGCGTAAAGTAAGTTGAAAGTAGGAAAACATAGTTTTGACGTTGCGACGGTGATACATCAGCGATGCACTAGAATCCTGAGCGTTTGGGAGGATGGTCGTGTAGTGTCCATGGCCTCAAAGGCTCTCTTTGGACAAAGACGACGTGGGCAATCTCTAGATCTTTTTGTGAAGTCTAGAGATTAATAAAATGGGTCGTCGAGTCATCTCCGGCGGCTGTCACCAGGCAATGTAGAAAATGGCGACTTTACGGCTCTCTGGCAGCTATCACCTGACGGAGAGGAGCTAGATGGAGGTGGGGCGCGTGTTAGGGAGCTTCATCCTCAGGTCTGCACAGCAAGAAGAGCTTCATCCTCACCTCTCTGGCAGCTATCGCATCTGGTATGCTCTCAAGAGGTGGCGACTCGTCTCCCAGTAGATCGTCCTCTTCCCGACAACGGCTTGTTCGTCAATCAATTGGAGATGATTTAATCGATGGATTCGTGATCCTTTTATCGTGAATCGTTCAACAATTTTAGTAGCAATGCTCCGCGAATTGCGTTGACGAGATTTTCGCTGATGATCTAGTGATTCTCGTTGCTTAATCCTTCACTGGCGATCTGTAGGAAAGTAGCGATAATCAAATAAAAATATATGACTTTTGACTCTGGGAGGATTCAAACCTGTGCCGGTTGTCCGCCTCTTCTGAGGAAGGTGTGACGCGAGTTTAGTCCCACATCAGTTGTGTGCCAATTTTTCGGGCGAATATATAGTAATGTTACATTTCTAAGCAAAGTTCCTTCTCTCGCACGTATGACCACTCCTTGCCCCACAGTTGGCTGGCCACTAGTGACGTGGAAGGGGAGTGGTGCACATGTGCCCCTATCGGTCCAAGCCGCTCGAGCCCCTACTCGCGGCTACTCCTCGACTGAGCTTCCAACCCGCTTGCGGGCCTAGTTGGCTAGCAGGTCCCCCTCATTTTGTCTTATTTTTGTTTTTTATTTCTTTTTCTTCATTTATCTCAAAAGCAAGACTGTAAAAATCATATAAATTCATATAAAATCACATAATTACCTAAAAATTCACATTAATCAACTGAAAACCACTTTTCACACTTTCACACAAATATAGGTCTATTTATCATGAGTTAAGGCTAAAACTATATTATTTACTAATTATTAACTCATGATAATGAAGACTTATCAGTCACAATGAATAAAGTCCTCAAAGGATATCGATGGCCTTCGTCTCCCTCCTTCCCTCCCTACCCTAAGTCACGAAGAAGGTAACTCACAGATGATAATCTCTCACAAAATTCGACACTTCGGGTTGAGGGGGGGTCCTACCTCCCTTTATATAGGGCCCACAAGTGGGCTAAGGGGAGGTGGGCCCACTTGAGGCCCTCAAGCCCATAAGTCACAAAAAGGCTACAAAAGGGGCTTATTGGGCCTCTAAAAGAGAGACCCAATAAGTTCCCCTAAAAGGAGAAAAAGGAGGGCCCTCTTACGGTGCTTAAGTGGGCCTCAAATGAAGACCCAAATAAGCCCCAAAAGAGGCCCAAAAGAAAAAAAACATAGGTCCCCCCCCTTAGGGTTTTAATTGGGCCTCAAGAGAGAGACCCAATAAAACCCTAAAGAAAGGGAGATACAAACAACAACACACACACATAGAATTGGGCTTGCTAACACACAAACACGAGGCCCAACAAGTCAACGTGAAAATACAAAGAAAGATAAGGGTGAGCTCGAGCTCGTCGTCGTTGTGGAGGTGGAATGTTGTTGTCTTGAAGGGCTAGGCCGTGCAGCGAAAGCTAGGCTCCTTCATCTTCGTGCGTCGATCGGGTTGAACTCGGACTATCGGTGTCTCCTGAGCTGATGGAGATGGGTCCCGCTCGCCATCAATTCTCCTGGGGTTGAAAGAACTCGACTTTGACGAGTTGGCAAGTGGGGAAGGCAGGGGCTCCAACAGGTCTGGTTGTAGTCGCTCTAGGTTCGCCTCTGAAATCCAAGCATCGTCCTCTGACGAGCAACCCTACCAACATACTAGGAATCTCTACGAAACTCCATCCCCTATAAAGTCAATTACCTTCTGAAGAATCTCCTTGACTCACTTGTGCCAATTAGGTGGTAAAATGAAGGGAGTGGACTCCATGGCAAACTCTCTCTCAAAAAAGGGGCCGGTAGATGAGGGCTCAATGTCAGATGAAAGAGGTGGGGCTTGGTGCAACGCCAGATCCGCCACATTGAATGTGGAGCTAATCCCCCACGAAGGAGGGATGTCGATGGCATAGGCATTCTCGCCTATCTGAGAAAGAACACGAAACGGGCCGGCGCTACGAGTGTGAAGCTTTGTAGCAGAGCTAGGAGTGTAATGCTCGGGCCTCATCCTCACCATAACTTGGTCTCCCACCTAGATGATCCGGGGTTGACAATGCATATCAGCAGCCTACTTGTACAATGCATTCTGACTCTGTATCCTATCATGGATGTCTTGATGCAATTGACTAACATGCTGGGCGAATGCGGCACCATCCTCAAAAACTCTAACATGAGGGTCCAGGGGTATTAGATCTAGGGGCTTGCGGGGTGCTAAGCCGTGTGCGATCTCGAAGGGGCTTATGCCAATGGTATGGTTGGTCGAGGAGTTATAGGCAAACTTGGCACGTGGTATGATCAGATCCCAAGTGGTCAAGCTCTTGTCGACTAATGATCGGAGCAAATTTCCTAAGCTACGATTGACCACCTCGGTCTGGCCATCAGTCTATGGATGGTAAGTGATGTGACTTAGTCGTTGTATATTAAACCACGCAAATCTAAAATTTATAAAACTAGAAAATATGATTTTTCAGATATTTAGAAGTATTTCTGAACAAATATATCAATTATAATTCAAGAAAACTTTCAAAAAATAGCAGTAATTTTCTAAGTCAATCACAAGGATGTAATATAATATCTAATAATTATTCAGAATTTTCCTCAAAGAATACTATTTTCTATGAATTTTATACTAAGAAATGAAAAGGAAATATATTTAAAATTCACGAAAAAGGGAAATAAGGGTGCGGACATCAGGATGATGTCATCACTCGGCGAACGCGAATCAAGCAAAAATAGAGTTCCGCCTGACGATTCTTATGTATGCGATTACAGATGATTTAATTGATCAAATTAAGATTTGTAAAAGCCGGAAGAATCGTAAGTGAATAAAGTATATTTTGGTAAATTAAAATCACACAAATTATCACTAAATGAAGCGTAAAGTAAGTTGAAAGTAGAAAAAAGAATTTTGGCATCACGGCGGCGATGCGTCGGTAATACACCAGAATCTTGAGTGTTCAAGAGGATAGTCGTGTAGTGTCCATAGCCTTGAAGGCTCTCCTTAGACAAAGACAATGTGGGCAATCTCTAGATCTCCTTGCGAAGTTTAGAGATCAATGAAATGGGTCGTCGAATTATCTCCGGCGGCTGTCACCCGACGGAGCAGAAAAATAGCGACTTTGCGGCTCTCTAGCGGCAGTCACCTGACAGAGAGGAGCTAGATGGAGGTGAGGCGTGTGTTAGGGAGCTTCATTCTCAGGTCCGCGCAGCAAGAGGAGGCTCTTCATCGCATCTGGTACGCTCTCAGGAGGTGGTGACTCGTCTCTCAGTGGATCGTCCTCTTCTCGACGACGACTTGTTCGTCGATCAATCGGAGATGATTTACTCGATGGATTCGCGATCCTTTTATCGCGAATTGTTCTGCAATTTTAGTAGCAATGCTCCACAAATCGCGTTGACGAGATTTTCACCGATGATCCAGCGATTCTCATTGCTTAATCCTTCATCGGTGATCTGCAAGAAAGTCATGATAATCAGATAAAATATATGAGTTTTGGCTCTAAGAGGATTCGAACCCGTGCCGATTGCCCTTGCCTCTTCTAAAGAAGGTGACGGGTTTAGTCCCACATCAGTTGTGCGCCGAATTTTCGGGCGAATATATAGTAATGTTACATTTCTAAGCAAAGTCCCTTTCTTGTGCGTGTACGACCACTCCTTACCCCACAGCCGGCTGGCCACTAGTGACGTGGAAGGGGAAGTGGCAACACGTGCCCCCATCAGTTCAAGCCACTCAAGCCCCTGCTCGCGGCTCATGCTCGACTGTGCTTCCGACCCGCTTGCGGGCCCCCCGATTTTGCTACATTTTTATTTTAATTTCTTTTCATTTATTTATCTCAAAAGTAAGATTATAAAAATCGTATAAAATCACAAAATTAGCTAAAAATTCACGTTAATCAACTGAAAATCACTTTTCACACTTTAAGACAAATATAAGTCTATTTATCATGAGTTAAGGTTAAAACTATATTATTTACTAATTATTAACTCATGATAATGAAGACTTATTAGTAAGTAGTGGAGAACTTGAGCTTAGTCCCAAGTAAGCTCCAAAGAGTCTTCCAGAAGTGGCTAGTAAACCATACGTCACGGTCTGAGACTATGGACTTGGGTAGTCCATGAAGGCACACAATCTCTCTAAAGTCGAGGCTAGCAACACACAATCATGTCGTTGTGCAGTGCATGGGAGTCTCAAAACGAAGTCCATGCTAACGTCATCCCATTGGCGGGTCGACACTAGAAGTGGCACGTAGAGTCTAGTATTCTTCTTTACCTACTTGGCGAGTGCACACACTCGACACTGAGCGACTATGTTCCCTACATCGTGCTTGAGGGTCAGCTAGTAGAATTGGTACTCGACCGCTACAATGGTCTTATCGCGACCAAAATGGCCGAATAGACCTCCTGCGTGACATTCCCAAGTGAGGAAGTCACGGAGGGATGTGCATGGAACGCACAATCTGCTCCTAAAGAACAGACATCCATTGACCAGAAGGAAGTCCTTATGATCTCGTGATAGACCATCCAAAAGTACTCGTAGAACATGGTCGAAGTTCGAGCAATCTACATAAGAATCCAGTAAGGACTCAAATCCTGTCACTTGAACCTTCACGAGGTTCAGCAAGTGGACTCGTTGGCTGAGGGCATCTACCATCACGTTCTCCTTGCCCTTCTTGTGGCAAAGGACGAAGGTGAAGTCCTACAAGTACTCGACCCATCATGTGTGTCAATCGCTCAACTTCCGCAAAGAGTGCAAATACTTCAAGGCCTCATGGTCCGAGAAGAGCACAAACTCCTTATAATGGAGGTAATGGCGCTAGTGTTTGAGAGCCTAAATGACGGCGTAGAACTCACGATCGTAAGTGGAGTATCTAAGTCTCATGTCATTCAGCTTCTTACTAAAGTACTCTATGGGATGGCCTTTCTGGCTAAGGACACCCCCAATACCAACGCCCGAGGTGTCACAAGCAACCTCAAATACCTTGCCAAAGACAGGTAGGCAAAGTATCAGTGCCTGAGTGATAAAAGTCTTCACTCGATTGAAGGCCTGCTCAGTTGTCTCTGTCCAAAGGAAGGTCTCCTTCTTGAAGCAATCAATAAGTGGAGCGGTAACGGAACTAAAGTCCCAAATGAAGTGACGGTAGAACATCGCTAGTCTAATGAAGCTTCGGATGTCGTGCATGCTGCCTGGTTGTGGCCAAGTGACTATTGTGCAAACCTTTTCGGGGTCTGCAAAAACTCCTCGCTCGGAGATGACAAAACTGAGGAACGTAACCTCGAAAGTGAAGAAACTACACTTCTTAGAATGGGCATAAAGCTTCTCCTATCGACGTGCCTCAAACACCTGTTGTAAGTGCTAGAGGTGGGAGTCTCAAGTACCGCTGTAGCCCAAGATGTTGTCAAAGTATACTACGATGAACTTGCCAATGAACAGGCGTAAAACCTCATTCATTAGCCTCTGGAACGTATTGGGCACGTTGGAGAGGCCAAATGGCATGACCCTCCACTCGTACAGGCCTTCCTTGATCTTGAAGGTGGTTTTCCACTTGTCCCCTAGACGTATCCTGATTTGATGATAACCATTGCGTAGATCTATCTTTGAAAAGATAGTGACTTCTATCATCATGTCGAATAAGTCTTGTAATCGTAGGATCAGAAAACGGTATTTAACCATTATCCTATTGATCGCATGACTGTCGCAGCACATGCGCCAAGTGCCATCCTTCGTCGGTGCTAGTAATGCAGGCATGGCGCAAGGACTAAGGCTCGGTTGGATGAATCCCTTATCCAAAAGCTCCTGTACTTGTCGGCTAAGCTCCTTGTACTTGGCCGGCTCCATGCAATAGTGCGGCAAGTTCAGGAGTGATGCTCTGGGAACCAAGTCGATAGCATGCTGAATGTGCCTCAATGGAGGCAGCTCTCTGGGAAGCTCCTCTAGGAGTACGTCAGCATACTCCGATAATATACACTCGACTTCTGGAGAAGGGAGGGTAAGGGTCATGTCATCTCGTGTATCCAAAGTGAGAGCAAAGCACGTCAGGGATCCATCTATGTCCGACGTGATCTCGTGCTGAAAGGCAGGTCCCTTCATCACGATTAACCCAATACGTGACTTAGGGTCTCGCTTCGGCACAAGCTTGTTGGTATGCATATACCAAACAAGTCGCCGATCTCGATACATGAAAGAGCAAGTGTTTGCTCTTCCCATGAGTTGAACGTCATAGTAAAACAACTAAGGCCGTCCAAGTATGATGCCGCCGATTTTCATCGAAAGGACATCACACAAGATGTGTTCATCATAGGTGCTCACCCTAAGTGGCACCTGGCACTATTGATGAATGGGTAGTGCGGTGGCATCTATCCATGATATGTCGTAAGGGGTTAGATGGCTAATAGTACTCAGCCCTACCCTCTACAAGACCTAGTTTGACACAACATTGACGCAACTGCCGCTGTCCACGATCACCTTGCACGCATGTCCATTGATCTTCACATAGGTGTAGAAGATCGACGTGTGAAGGGAATCGTCTGTCGTAGGCGAAGATGTGGGCATAGTCGTCCTCGGTGCCAGGGTGATCTCTCTAGCTGCCGTGGTGTCTAGCTGTGGTGTAGGAACTAGGTCTCGAGATGGACGCTAGATAGTGATTTTGACCAATCCCCTCGATGAAGTGCTCGTTGATGAGGCAGTGAGAGAGGCAGCCTTAGCTGCTGGTACGGTGGCTGGCCGGATCTGGATGTAACCAATCAAATCAGGAGTGTCATCACACTCCTTGGCCAAACCCTCGTCAGCAATGTAGACATCATTGCCTACGAGGATGTCTTCCTCGTGTGAATCACTACCCAATTCTTTGATCTCTCTGAGGAGATTTGAAGATGGGTGATAAGTCTTCATTATCATGAGTTAATAATTAGTAAATAATATAGTTTTAGCCTTAACTCATGATAAATAGACTTATATTTGTGTTAAAGAATGATTTTTGGTTTTCAATTGATTAACGTGAATTTTTGGGTAATTATGTGATTTTATACGATTTTTACAGTCTTACTTTTGAGATAAATGAAGAACAAGAAATAAAAATAAAAATATTGTAAAAATGGGGGAGGACCCGCCGGCCAGCCGTGCCCGCAAGCGGGTCGGAAGCACAGTCGGGGAGTAAGCTGCGAGCAGGGGCTCGAGCGGCTTGGCTTGGGGACCGATAGGCACGCGTACGCCACTCCCCTTCCACGTCACCGGTGGCCAGCCGGCTGTGGGGCAAGGAGTGGTCGTACACGGGAGAGAAGGGACTTTACTCACAAATCTAACATTACTATATATTCGCCCGAAAACTCGGCGTACAACTGATGTGGGACTAAACCCACACCTTCCTCAGAAGAGGCGGGGGCGACCGGCGCGGGTTCGAATCCTCCCAGAGTCAAAATTCATATATTTTTATCTGATTATCGCGACTTTCCTGCAGATCGCCGGTGAAGGATTAAGCAATGAGAATCGCTAGATCATCGGCGAAAATCTCGTCAACGCGATTCGCGGAGCATTGCTACTAAAATTGCTGAACGATTCGCGATAAAAGGATCGCGAATCCATCGAGTAAATCATCTCCAATTGATCGACAAACAAGCCGTCGTCAAGAAGAGGACGATCCGCTGGGAGACCACTCGCCACCTCCTGAGAGCGTACCAGATGCGATGAAGAGCCTCCTCTTGCTGCGCGGACTTGAGGATGAAGCTCCTTAACACGCGCCCCACCTCCATCCAGCTCCTCTCCGTCGGGTGACAGCCGCCGGAGAGCCACAAAGTCGCCGTTTTTCCGCTCCGCCGGGTGACAGCCGCCGGAGACGATTCGACGACCCACTTCATTGATCTCTAGACTTCGCGATAAGATCTAGAGATTGCCCACGTCGTCTTTGTCCAAGGAGAGCCTTCGAGGCCGTGGACACTGCACAACGATCCTCCCAAACGCTCAGGATTCTGGTGCATCGCCGACGCATCGCCGTCGCGACGCCGGAACTCTGTTTTCTTGCTTTCAATTTAATTTACGCTTTATTTAGTGATACTTTTTGTGATTTTAATTTACCAAACTATACTTCGTTAAATTAAGATTCTTCCGGCTTTTATAGATCTTAATTTGATTAATTAAGTCGTCTGTAATCGCTTACGTAAGAATCGCCGGGCAGAACTCTGTTTCTGCCTGATTCGCGTTCGCCGGGCGCTGACGTCATCCTGATGCCTACACCCTTATTTCCTTTTTTTTCGTGAATTTTAAATATATTTCCTTTTTATTTCCTAGTATAAAATTCATAAGAAAATCGTATTCATTGAGAAAAATTCTGAATAATTACCAGATATTATATTACATCCCTGTGATCGACCTGGAAAATTACCACTATTTTTGGGATTTTTATTGAATTATAATTAATATATTTATTTTGAAATACTTCTAAATATTCGAAAATTCGTATTTTCTAGTTTTATAAATTTTATATTTGCGTGATTTAACATACAACGACTGAGTCACGTCAATGGGCATTGGCTCATCTGATGCTCCATACCCTTACACTTGAAACAAGTGATATAGGCTTGGGATGTGGCCGTAGCACAGTCGGATGCATCGGCTGGTGGTGGACGCAGGGGTGATGCAGACCCTACTGATGTCGCCGGTGTAGTCCGTCTGTTCCCTACGCTAGTACGTGTCGATGCTATCATTGGTGTCTGTGCAAATCGTGTGGACGCAATCTTCATGGTGATCGGAGGTGGGGTGAACTGTGTGTCCTCGACGGGTCACTCCATATGCTCTACTATACGGTAGGCCTTGTCTACTTCAGATGGGTTGCCTTTCAGCACCTCGTTCTGAAGTTGTGGACTAAGTCCGTGGGTGAAAATGCCCAAAACCACACGTGAGTCCTCAACAAAGCGACACCTCATGTAGCACTCCTCAAAAGCCTGAATATAGTCTTGGACAGGTATCTTGCCCTATCGAAGGTCTAACCAACTGAGGAACAGCATCAACTTGTACTGTCGAGGAACGTACTTGTTCCTCAAGTGTGATGCCATATCAACCCATGATGTGATGGGCTGCCCTCGTCAATGTGCCGCGTAGCTCTCATTTTCCCAAAAGATCTTGGCCTGTCCACCAAGTCTCATCTCCACATACTCCACGCATAAATCATCATCCATGCGGTACCACCAGAAATAGGAGTTCATACTAGACTCCCAATCTATGAAGTCCTTGGGCTCATGAGAGCTGTCAAAGACTGCCACATCGGCACGCACACTTTTCAGTATGCGAGCCCTATGGTCCTCACATCGCTTGTCTCGATCATCCAATCGATCGACCCTATGGTCACCACCAAAGTCACAGTGGGGAGGACTTGGGTAACGCCCTTGATCATAGTAATGATCTTGGTGGGTGTCCTGGGGTGCTCGGTGAAAGTCCAGAGCACGCTAGTAGTCATGGTAGGAATCATCGCGATCTTGTGGTTGATGCTCTGCTCGCCAATCGAGCTCCTCTCGTCAAGAAGGGTCAGCTCTGTAACGCAGAAAGTTTCTTCTATTGTGTCCCTAGTCACATCCGTGGGGTTGATAGTCCTCGTAGTGGGGTTGGGGTGGTGGTGGTGGTAGACGTGGGAGATTGTCCCTACAAGTAGGGTAGACCGGCTCGCGGGATCATAAGTATCATGTGGCCAATGACTACCCAATCGATCGTGGCCATCGTTGTGATGAGGTGCGTCGTGGAAATGAAGATTCCCTCGATGATGATCGTGATCGAGGTATTGGTGATCATATGGATCCCTATAGCGGCTCATAGGCCAGCGGGGCTCGTGATGCTCCTGATATGCCTGTATAATAGGCGGTGCGGTCGGTGGTGCGATCGGATATGCAACTGGTGGTGGAGCTGGTGGCAGTGGCCCATGAGCTGCAGCTACAAAGGTAGCTCGCTTCGGACGCTTAATAGCCTGGGTCATGCTACACATGACATCATCTAGGAGGGAGCGCGCTCCATCCCTCGAAGGGTACCGGAGCGAAGGTTGCCATTGGCCACCTCTGCCACGACCCCTAGTACTCTTCGGTGGATAGTAGGGCATGGATTCCTTCCTAGCTTAGTAGCTCATAGCCGCGGGCAGCTGGGGCCGCCCTGATGCCTCTTCGGCTGACATAGGGCTCAAAGTCTCCCGAGGTCGAGAAGGGTCTAGTATCGAATCCGTCAGTCTCAATAGAGATGGCGGACTTGTGTCCACTCTAGCTACTCAGAGAGTAGCAAGATCTGAGGCCTCGCGCGAGTGCCGTGACAATGGTGAACCTCCTCGAGCTCTGGTTGAGCGTGTCTCTACCATGGTTGGATCCTATGGGTGCTTAGATGCCAATGTAATCCTATATGAATGGTCTACTAGTGGTATGGAAGCTCGGTGAGCGTCCTTAGGGGACCAAGGTTAGGTGGTAACTTAACCTGGCTTTGATACCAATTTGATGTAGGATGGGGTGAGAACCCTTGTACTTGATCAATCAAACTCAAGACCTAGGATGGGGCAATCGGATCGATCCAATAAAAATGTATGGACCCTAGACTTTAGGTCTGACCACCTAACCTAAGTACAGGCAGGCATACCAATATGCACTATCAACTTAGGACAACTTGGGGAAACACTCGACGATGGTAAGTGTGAGACCCTCTCGGTCCACGTCTGGACAGACGACAAAACGGTCGTCGTGAAGTAGCCTAGGGCTGCAGCTCACGAACGGTGATGAGTTTGACGCAGCGTTAGAAGTCACGATCCTATAACCCATCCTATCCTATCTACATTCTCCTAATCACGGTGGAAATGAGTTGAGAAAATCCTTCGAAAGATAATTAAACTTAAGTAAGAAGGGGTACGGAGCTAACCTTTAGGGCTGCGTAACCCGGCGGGTCGTGACGAAGTAGAGATTCGACGTAAGTAAAGACGTCCGGTGAAGAGCAATGCTCAGCGTCGATGGTCGGTTCTGGTCGAGAGTCGCAGTAGCCGTCGTCGTAAGGCGTGGCACGATCAGCGCGGGCGTGGGCCTGCTGGTGGGCTGAAGGGCATGCTAGCGGGCGCGCGTGGCAAGCCACGTGGTGTGCCTCAGGGCACGTGGGCGGCGGCACTAAGTGGGCGGGCGGGCTGCAAGTGCTGGCACACGAGGTGCATGTGGTGGCGGCGCTTCGGCGGGAATGCCAAGCGTCGGCGGTTGGGCAGAAGCCCGACTATCGCCGGAAGGATCGGCCTTCTCTGCCGGCACCAAGAAGTGGAGCAAAGGAAGGAGACAATCCCAGCCAATGATACCAGGGAGGGTTGAGCCCTCCTGGTCTAGGCGGTGCCGGAAATGGTGCAATGGCGGCAGATCGTCGAGAAACTCCAGCGGGGGGGCTATGAGGAGCTTCGACTGGATCTGGTTCGTTGGCACGGCTGTAGTAGGGTCTCTCCCGACATCAGTGGCAGGTAGGTGTTCGTCGGCAAACGGCCAGCGACTGAGTGGAGCGGCGGATGGCAGCTCCGGTGAGTTTATGGTGGAGTTCTGAAGGAAGAGGTGGTAGTCGAACTAGGAGTCAAGAGACTCCAGCGGAGTGCTCGGTGACGGCTCATAGAGAGGCGAAGCAAGCCCCTTTCGTCACGATGGCGTGACGGGGTTCCAGCAGAGGCGGCAGCGATTGTAGTGGCAACTGCAACCGTTTCGTCTAGTGACGGCAGCAATCTCACGGGCGGCAATGAAGATATCCGGTGGCGGTAGTTGGTCTCAGGTGGTGGCGGGACTTCTCAAGCAGCAGCGTCACAATGAACAAAGTCCTCAAAGGGTATTGACGGCCTTCCTCTCCCTCCTTCCCTCCCTACCCTAGGTCACAAAGAGGGTAACTCACAAACGATAATCTCTCACAAAATTTGCTTCGAGTTGAGGGGGGGTCCTACCTCCCCTTATATAGGGCCCACAAGTGGGCTAAGGGGAGGTGTGCCCACTTGAGGCCCTCAAGCCCATAAGCCACAAAAAGGCTACAAAAGGGGCTTATTGGGCCTCTAAAAGAGAGACCCAATAAGTTCCCCTAAAAGGAGAAAGAGGAGGGCCCTCGTACGGTGCTTAAGTGGGCCTCAAATGAAGACCCAAATAAGCCCCAAAAGAGGCCCAAAAGAAAAGAAACATAGGTCCCCCCCCTTAGGGTTTTAATTGGGCCTCAAGAGAGAGACCCAATAAAACCCTAAAGAAAGGGAGACACAAACAACAACACACACACATAGAATTGGGCTTGCTAACACACAAACGCGAGGCCCAACAAGTCAATGTGAAAATACAAAGAAAGATAAGGGTGAGTTCGAGCTCATCGTCGTCGCGGAGGTGGAATGTTGTCATCCCAAAGGGCTAGGCCGTGTAGCGAAAGCCAGGCTCCTTCGTCTTCGCGCGTTGATCGGGCTGAACTCAAACTGCCGGTGTCTCCTAAGCTGATGGAGATAGGTCTCACTCGCCATCAAATCGTTAGATGTGAAATTAGAGATTTGAGTTAAGAGATTTGTGTTGAACATTTGTATCTTTGTATGGATACTTTTATGAGATTCTAGAAGAAAATTGTCAGTATAAATCTAAATTTTCACTTTGATTTCTGAAAAACTCTAATGTAGAATATAATTTAAGTCTGTTGTTCAAAAACCTAAAAGATACATTGCAGAATGAAGGAAAAGGAGACTCATTAGCTTGTAGTCAAACAAATTATTTCGATCTACGCCATGTCATTGCTTGTAGAAAGTTCATAGTCCATTTGAAAAGGCGGATGAAGCTTTCTGAGTATCAGATGTTTTGAACTAGAAAAAATATAAAATTTTTACAAACTATTGAACATTGCATTGTTACAGAATATATCACTAAGATGAAGTATACTATGATCATGATGAGCAACCTGCAAAGAGGTCATTCACATACAGATTAAAAAGCATCGACAGACTGGGTACTCAATGACATAATAGTTGTTTCAGTAATGGAACCACACTCTCAAAAACCACCTGGCTTGTTCAGTTCAGGTGATGACATGGTCTCGTTAGACATCATAGTTTTTTTTATGTATTAGCATAGTGCACTACATTGGAAAAAATTTAATTTCAAATCAGAGAAGAAAACTAAACTTGCAATCTATATATTGTCCAGTAACATTATTTGTTGTAGAGAAAATAGGATTTACTGACAACTGACTTTTTTATTCTAAAAATAGCGGGACATGATTCATCCAAGTGAATGTAATACCATGAGAGCCTTTACCTTGAAGATTCCATTGTCGCTGTGGATTCACACACCCGGTCGATTCAGCACACTGCATCTATTATCAGAATTGTCCGGTGACGATGCCAACGTTACCTTCGTATTCCAATAAAATCTTCTTTGGTAAGCGTTCGACTCCTTGCAATCTTAAGCTTCTAGTCGGATCCATTCTATCATTCACTGGGTAAGCGGTGAAGTTCGTCAACCGTTCGGCTACAACATCAAGGTCATGCTCCTTATACATTGAAATGTTGGGGGATTTGTGTGCCCTACTAGTGAAGGGTTTAGGTAGGTATACAAAATTTTAAAAGTAATTTTTTTATACTAAATTTACATTACCGCCACTTGGCTGAATTTACATTCCGACTTCTGTAGTCCAGGAATGACAGGTGCCTTGTATGCGGGTAGTGGCACACTAGAATTAAGGAGGCGCAAACTAGAAGTGTTCATCTTAGTCTTCGAAATGGACTTTTGTTAATGTGAGAAAAAAATCAGAAGTAGCATGGTTTCTGTCACAGGAAGTTTATGCCTAAACCCATGAGCTGGATCTAGCGAGCTCGCTTCCTCTCACCTGCCCTCATGCAAGAATGAGGTCTTGCTTCTTTGGCGAGGACTCAGCTTAGCATGCACATATTTAGAAGTCCATTGAGGAACTTTTTTGGTTCAAGCTGAAGATCTCGACTTTACCATTCTGAGAAAACTGCAGCAATTTTCTTTGGATGGTCAGTTTACACGTCTCCGAAACTGCCCCTGGGATCAAGCCTTCTGTGAGCTTCAGAAAAAAAACAAAAAGTTCAAGAAGAGTTGGATGAGGAGTTCTGCTTCGTTCATACGGATCTGTTCGACACGGAGAAAGGTCACTCTGCAGAATTTCATCAATCCAACAGCGGTAAAGATTTAGCACCCTCTATTGTCAATGATGCCATACGTACAAAAGTCCGCAGACGGTCAAACATGACCGTTCTCTAGCATGGTAAACGGTCTTTCTTCCTAAGATTATGCTTCCTCCCCCCCCCCCAAATGAGGTACACAAGGACCTGTCAATCCCTCTCACCTCACAGCGTTTAGTCCTCTCTCTTCATCTACCCTCCGTGTGAACATTCAGCATTGAAGAAATGACATCCATATTAAGGCTGAAGAAGATCACGAAGTGGTGGCGTGCTAACGATTCGGCACTGACACAAGGGGATATGTTCTTCACAATACTTGTGGCTGAATTCGTGAAAATGCTTGGGGATAAACCAAATCGTCTGTAACTAAAATATGTATTACCGCCAACACCACATTTCAAGATACACAAATCACAACTTTATTTCAAATATCTTTAACACGAAAACATGAGGAGAACAAGAGACCAGAGCACACCCTTTGACGAGAAACATGAAGACACTGACATACAAGACTTGAGGAGCTCGA